CCCAGTTTATGATGGATGAACAGTTTGAAATGCCAAGCTCTTTCGCAATAGCCTTTACAAGACGAGGGGGTTGAGTCCTTGCAAAGCTGCCTTCGGGAAATTCCGAGCTCTTATCTTCGGGGCTTTCGAGACCAACAATCGGCACCATCTGCGTCTCCTTGTTGAATGGGCCGCCAATCCCGAAATGTGGCGCTAATGTTGGGATCCTAGCAATAGGATAATCCAATTTGACCAGCTTGGATTCAATCTTTCCCTGGGAGTTCTTCACGATGACTCTGCCACCAACGCCCAAGTCCCTGTCCCACCATGTGGAGTTGAGAGCCCCTGCATAAGGCGCGACACCGAGCTGAACATAGCCGTGGGAATCCGGCTTCTTAGATACCGGCTTCAGTTTAGCCGTGAGCGCGTCAATGTGGCCCACAACAATTCCTGCACCGTTTCCAGGCGCGTAACCAGTGGGGATAGTAAAGGCCATCAAAGCCGAGCCATTTCGGGTGGTGTAGTACTTTCCACCACGCTTCAGCTTGGAACTCCACGAATCGCGTTCGGAAAGTTTTGAAAACCCGGCAGATTCAAGGCGGCCGGCAAAGAAGTCAACAGCATGGAAAACTGTAGGGTTCTTATTGATAAAGTCTAAGAAAGGTTGCGAGTAATCGTCAGGTACTATCTCCGAGGACTTGCTTGGTCCTGTTCGCAAGACATTTACAGGCCTGGGGACGGGAACTGAGGCTGGCATTGTGATGGCGGGTGAACCAACGGTGAGGTGAACGAGCGGCTGGGAAGCTGAAGGTTAGTGAAAACCGAGAAACAGTCATAATCACTTGGGGGGGGGGGGGGGGAGCTTACAGAAAGATCACCAGCTTCCCAGTTCTGTTCACGAAGAGTTTGAGCGTGGATGTTAGAGTTGCCGAGGTTACGCATGATGTTTGGTATTTAGAGATATCGAGATATTTCAACTGTAATAGTAGTGACGGTGATAGTGGTAGCACTTTGAGCAGAGAAGGAAGGAAGTACGAGGAGACAAGATGGAAGGAAGGGAGGAAAGGAGGAAGGGAGGAAGGTAGAAGATAAGACGAAGATAGGGAGATATATGTAGACAATCCGGATAGCATATACGTAGCTACTCTGTAGGTACATCATTCAGGGCGGCTCATGCCGAAATGCCCAGACTCGTGCCTGCGTTGCGGCCATCTCACCATCACGGGGTCTTCCACAAGGGTTCGACAATATCCGATCGGGGTATCGTAACCAATCATCACGAGTTGAGTTGCATGCATACTCATATTTTCCTGACGTTTGTGGACGCGACTGATATTGCATGCCATACAAAAATACGCCAAGCTCATGATTTTGGGTGTATGCAATAATGGCCCAGTTCAAAAACGTCAGGAAGATACTAGTAGATAACTACCTGCAGCCAAATCAGGGGAACCCTCCCGCGCTAGAGACAGTTCTTCTCGTCTACCAACCTCTCCTAAGCTATCGTCATAGAGCAGACACTCCAACAGCATCTGGAGCACATGCTCTAGGTAAAATGCATACTCTACCAGCTGGACTGAACTCACTCTGAGATCGCTGAGACAACCCATGGATGGTGAACTACACAACACACCAAGGACAATAAAATCCAGGTACCTACAGTATCTTCTTGTCCTGGGGTTTTCTTCAAGGTTGGCCGGGCAATATAGAGACTGAGACATGATCATATAGAGCATATGAATGAGTCATCACTCTACTGGGCTCACTCGACTTCCTCCGCTTGTAATTCAGGCACGACTAAAAGTTACTTGTATTAATATACCTAGACTTAGTCTCTATGGATGGTTAGGATACATTTAGGCACATACTTACAAGCGTTTCGAAAAACCATAATCCAGTACATAGTAGAAGCGATTTGATACTTACTTAAAGGCGTTTCTAAGCCCAGTGCAGCACGGATTTATAATTATGTAGTATGTACTTGCGGCGAGAATAAGTTTCCGCCAAATTTGTGCGTGAAAATGCGGTTGCAACACAAAAGTGGTGGCGGAAACTTATTCTCGCAGCAAGTAGATCAAACAATTATTAGGGTCATAGGACCCAGTGATTACCTAACCAGAGGTGAAGCAGCAGCTCAGTTACCGCATCGGTGAATTTGTTTCACCATCATCTGGTAACTTGGTGCCAGTAAGCTGGCCAGGCCCCAAATGTTCCTGTGGTTGGGATATTACTTCTACTTTCTAACCGAATCATACTCCATGATTAGTGAAGTGCCGAATCAGAATCGATGAAGCAGTGTGGGATTATGCTATGTGTGATTTCACCTCTTATTCTGAAGGCCACACGCTGAATACTCAAGGCTCCATGCCAATGTCATGATTCAGAATACATGTAGTCAGCCAGTACTAATTGGTCGCTGAATAATTATTGAGCTAAACTTATATTAGGAAACTTTATACAATTCTACAGGCGATCCCTCCGCCCCCGACATTCGGGGCATGCAGAAGACTTCCTAGTAGCACCGGAACACTATCGATTTATTGAATCGATCTCATCCCCACACTGGGGATCAGCAAATAAGTTCTACATCTCATTCCAAATGGCAACCATCAGGCGCGCCCTTGATACATGTATATTATGGTCCTGTAAGGTGAGCTACTTTTTATGACCTCCGGCTGGATCCCACAATCTGTCCCACATACACGCAGCAGCAGAGTGTGTGTATGAGTGGCGGTGCGGGTATCAGTGAAGGTTGTTCTTCCACCCAACGTCCGTGGTTGAGCGACTAACTTCACCCCAACCATACGTATCGCCTATATCGTTCCAATGGCATGCACATGAACATGCAGAAACCGCCAGGTTGAAGAACACGAGTCCCACAGGCGTATTCTATAGTCCCTCTGTCGCGGTTATGTCATAGAGTCGAGTAAGAGACAAAATACACGGTCGGTACCCACGGAAGTTCGATACGAGTGATGCCTTGTGATTCGAGTTGCGTTCGTCGTCATATGGTAGAAGACGCACTTTGTATCAAAAGCTTTGATCAGTAGCTATAATAGCTGTTGATTGAGAGAGAGGGGTAAGAGTAGCGACTCTCAGAGTGTTAGGATATAAGGACGCAGGGAATGTGCATATGCGCATGTGCACAGCCTTGAACCGCAAACCTAGGACGCTGGATGAAAAAGGAAAAGGGAAGAAGGGAAAGGAGGAAGACAGACCGCTTGAGTGTCTCTTCGAAGGCGTAAAGCTGAGCAATATCTACCACAAAAAGGGACTGTTTCCGTAGTGGGGGGGATTTGAACTACGTGTAGATGTACATGTACGTTTACGTGTTTAGTATAAACATGTGCACTCTAGTACTCTCTGGTAGTGTCCGTGAGACCGGATCCGCGGAGGGACATGAGGTGAAATAAAAGATATGATCTATACAGGTCACTAATGGTATACCTGGGGCTTACTCCTAGAATATATCACGACTTTTTCACTTGTCCCAGTGCGTGAATGTTGGACCTACACTCGCAGCTCTTATTCCCACTAACACCAACCACACCCGCAGAGGGAATCACAAATTGCCGGCGATAACCAATCAACCGTTACTCCGGATCCTGTCAACGGCGTACGGTGGCCCCACTCTCGCACCGAATACGAATAGGCTGCGGACCATGAACTCTCGAGCTCCTAACAAACCCAAGATCCGACGGCGCCCCATACTACCAGTCCCGTAAACCTAAGTCCAAATAGTATACTCCGGCTCTGCAGCTCATCTCTCGGTCCTCAAACCCTCTAGGAATACCGGGATCTCAGTAACTATGGCTATATAAACTAGCTTTATAGCCCGGCTACACGGCTTCTGCTTCTCCAGCTCCATACAAGCACATATATACATGCAGAGACAGAAAGGGGTCCCAGCTTATAATAACCTTCCAGATATCCCGTTATGTGGTTCCGGGTCCCCCCACTTATGCGCTATTTGACCCAAGGCCCCGTTTCTGGGACTGTTACTGTTGTAGATCTGCGGCATTTTTTTCTTTTTATTATGACAGCTTTACGATCCCCTGGTATTTTCGTAGCTTATTAATTATGCTTCGGGAGTTGAGGTGAGCTGGGATGGATATTGTTTAGAGATGCTCTTTGGGACAAAGTTCTTACACTGCACCTATATCCGTGTTATGGATATGTCCCGGCCGCAACTTCCAGTACATGTAGGTATAACTACTGCCAAGCCTCGATATAGCACCCTCATCTATCTACACATACTCCCACTCCCACTCACCATTTGATATTCGTATTCTCTTTATTTAGCATATCCCGCTCTACCGTGATAATTAATCTAACCCCCCATAGATGCAAACTTATATGTATCTCCGGTTCTCAACAACCAATCAGCAGCTCTTCTGAAATCAACATTATATCATCCGTGTGTATATATATCTATATATCCAAACCCAGGGTTTTCCCCTCAAGAGCCTAATATATTCATAACTCACTACCCCTACAAATCGGGTCGATCCATCTAATTTGCCAAAGCGTTTTAGAAAAGAACCAGACAATCCCAGGATTGCGTGAAGCCGGCCGGGCTAAGCTTGAATGCTAATTAATTGGCATTAACGGCACTCGAGTTATATCAACTAATATTTCTGTATTTGGAACTTGGATTAAACTGTAGATTGTAGTTATATACAATTACGGCATCATAAAAATATCTTGGGCCTAAGCATAAGTACTGACATGACAAAAAAAAAACCAAAACTCCCGGGCCGGCCTGGTATAATTACAACTTTTATCGTCAATTTACAAGTCTAATCTAGTCCAGCCCGGCCCAATAGGCAGAAGTAAACACAGGGTATAATGGAGTCTACATCTAATTTCGGGACGTCAGTTGCATCAAATCTTTGGCTGCACCCTCACCGTTAGCTCCTCTGTACTTTCCGGCCTCCCTTCATACCCCCCCCTGGCATCAAACGGTTCCGTTGCTGCATGAACAAACCCCCCCTCCCCATCTACCTTCACATGCGAGTCCTCTAGCTGAATGTGGGATCCCGCACAGCGCCACCACCACCGGTCATGTATTCCTCCCCACCCGTGCTGCCATAGTTTTTCCGAAGGAGTCCCCGGAGGGCTGGGAGACAGGCTACAACGACAGCTACAGAGCCTTCGACTTGCGTCCAGGTTGTGAGCCAGATAGGTGATATCGAGTCTGTAAAGAAAGCAAAAGATATTTATTAGATTTTGAATCTTGGAAGGAAATGAGTGGCAGGGCACGAACCGCCGACGGAGCTGAGAAGAGCCCTGATTAGAGCGAATGCAATACAGAGCAGGCCGAGGGAGAAGATGATGACAAGGCCAAACTTCTGTCTTGCCGATATCTTTAGGTTGATGATGAGACGGAGTGGGAGGGCCATGACTAGTTTTTTATCTCAAGATCAGTGGTTTGAACGAGCATGACAGGTAAAGTGGGACGAACTCATAATATCCGTAATGACATCTGCTACCATGGCATAAATCATTGCCTCCCATGGTGCTGCAGGCTGGCGGGTACTACAGGCCTCTTTTTGAAATAAGTACCGAATTTTGGGATACTGAATTTAGAATGCCAAACATACCTGGTCCAAGCTTGAAGGAAGATGAAAATGGACGGCAATTGACAAACTGGGACAGCATAACTGATATCCAGAATATAATGTTCAGGCAGACCACGGCCCACCACCACTTCATCATTCCATCGATTCCTATAACCAAAGTTCGAGTCAGCATCTAGAGATCTACAATTGCCCAGAGAGGCATAAAGAACATAACAAGAAAAACACATACCATCCATCAACCTTCTAAAGAACAGCAGCAATGAGAACTTGACTGACCACAACAGCTGCCAAAAAATGAATATCGTTGCCCACTGCATCTTCAGATACAGATGGATCCTCTTCATCCACTCCGCATCCGGCGTCACTAGCCCCGCCTGTGCTTCCATGATGTCGAATATATACGGCGTAAAGAGGGTATGCATCACCGCAATAACGAGACAGAAAAAGCCGGCAAAGAAGACGAATAGGTCATCGATATAGAGGGACCCATGTTTCTGCCAGCGGATCCACAGCCGGAATATCATTAGAGATATGGCGGGGACAGTCACCGCCCAGTATATGGCCTACATTTACGAATTGTCAGTGACAGTCTGTGATTGAGTAGTGTAATGATAATATGACCACTTACATAGTAGCCGTATATTGGGAGTGCCTTCTCCAGTTCTGCTGATCGTACATGCAACTGATGTTGCGCCATCCTACTCCCTACAAACTAGTATATTCCTCCACGATTATGGCCTGATGGTGAAAGAAAGAACGAAAGAAAAACCACAAGGGTTTGTGGCTGCAGAGCAGAACGAGAGACTAAAAAGGGCCAACCGAGGGGTTAAAGTATCGAAGGGCCGGGCGAGAGGGTAGTAAATAACAATTATCACCTGAAAATCCGAACCGGGTATGGAAATCATAGAGTAGTATATACATCAATCCAGCAATCCCCCCAACGCTGGGGTCCTTGGGATGGGATGCAGGATGGGCGCACGCTGGAACGGTGCGGTACATCTTTTACCCCCCTGTCTGCAATGCAAAGAAGTGGTGTGAAAGACACATGGAGGACGTTTCTCCTGCATCTTTGTCTTCTTGGGTTGTATTAATATGTACATGTATGTACGACATGTACCTTACCACCCGAACCGGCTTCTCTTACTCGCCAGCGACAGTTGAAATACAGCTACTCCATCCCGGTTTTCTTGGTGGGCGTTTTCTCGGTTTCGGGGCACAGGCAAGGATCTGGGAGGTACTCTAATTGTGCATATATTGGTATTTTAGCCACGAGTTGTATGTGCCTATACGTTAAAAACCTAAAGAAGCTGTAAGCACTAGAAGTCACTTGCACTCCGATTCTACCCAACAACGCAAGTATGAAATCCCATGTCTCTACAAGAATACTACCTACCAGACTCCGGATCTAGCTATCAACACAATGATCTTCAAGTCTAGATGTAGACCCTCTTTTCCGCACAGATAGCAGCAAACCTTCCCCGGTCATAAATGCCTCTTTAGTGAAGCAGCTAAGAAGATTTTCCGGACCATGGAACGGGAAAGCCATGGATCCACAATCTAGCCCTAACAGCTTGAATGGCGAACCACCACGCGCGGACCAAAAGGTGCACAAATGAGTACATGTACCTACTTTCGTTCTCTCGGACACTATGTCGGGTTGGCTTCCGATGCATTATATGCCGGCCGACTTGAGTCGTGGGTTTGAAGTACCCACGGTGGGTGCTTCACAATGCCCAATTGCGATTGTGGTTCGACAACAAAACTACAGTTGCAACTCGATATGCCGGATTGCCAAGATTCTAAGGATTTCGTACGGGATAGCAAAAAATCCGGGATAGCAAATTGATTTTGCAGTAGGAAAAATCATATTCTCAGAGGATCTCGTACGGGACAGCAAGGGATCCGGTGTATTGAGTTCCGGCATATCGAGTTGCGACTGTAGGTTATGTAGGTACAAGTCTCAAGTCAATGGTCTCAAGTCCATAGCTTAACGACTCTGGATTCGTTAGTGTATGTATAGTTGTGAGGTTATTATTTTTAGTGCACCACATATAGAGTAATCATATATGACGAAGTAGCGACTCTAACTTCACGAATCAGTAAGGGTCATAGCATAGAATTGCATAGTATATAGCATAGCATAGCATAGCATATAGCATAGCCATGCGCAGTAAAGTTGGTTGGGGATTAGCCAATAATGGGGAATATGCCTGCACATCTACCCAGATTTATAAGCAGTTGTGTTTCAAGCTTCCAGCAGGCTTTTGTGCCTAGCCCATATCCCTGTCCTCTTCTCAGGAACCCCCAGTGCCGAGGTCGAGCTTCGCTAAGCTCGGGGAGGGTTTCCCAGCTGGGATTAAGTGAGTATTTGGGGGAATGCAATCATGTACCGACGGTAGGTATGCAGAATTAACTAGAATAGGGGATCAAAGGTGAGCACGCTTATGAGGTTTTATGAACGCATGCAGAATATTGACAGTCTGGAATGGGTGCACATGTATGTACCCCTGGAACTAGCAGCGCAAGGAATCTTTTTTGGCTGGCGTCCAAAGCTGGACCTGGGGAAGTGAGACCTCTGAAATTTCAACTTCAACTTCAACGTTAACCTCAATTACTGAGTTGATCACATTAGGGACTGGGATAGTAATCGATCGGCTAGCCATGGTAGAAGAAGTTAATAACCGTACCTGTTCCTGCCTGTATTAATATGTAGTGTTTTCAACTGTACCCAGGTAGCCTCTTAACCTTATATTTCCACCACCACCAAATTTAAAGCCACTCCCCTCATAATACTCCGAAGACTGCATAAGGCCCAGTCGTGGAACGAAGCAGCAGCATTGACTCTTGAGTACCCCACGATGATATATCCGCGAGATGAGTTACACAACTGTCTATGCCACTTTAGTGTACTCACGGGAAGGGTAAATCCAAAAACGGCCCGCTCGGAACGAAACAAGGTTCCAAAGTGTAGTTTAACTTAGGCCCTTAGTTAAATCTGAATTCAACTACCTTCGGGCTTCGGAGCTGAAGTCACTGCCGGCAACGCAGAGCGGTTCCTCAAGTTCGCTTCTCTCTTTAATTTTGTCTCCCCCCTCTTCACTGCAGCATGCCCCTTTGAGAAGAAATGATATCGCTCTCTGTCTCTCTCGCTTCTGACGGAACTAAATTAGAGCTCATCCCTAGATTGCGCATGACTTACTAGCAGCTACAAGACCCTTGCGGGGAAAGAAAAGGAAGCTCAAGAAAGGAAGCTCTTGTCTTGGCAGGCTCATCTCGTGAACTACATGTACTCTACATACCGACCTTGGTGTAGTTTTCGTTTGAATCAAGTTACTCGGCCTCCTCGTTATTGGAGCTTCCAACTTCGATCGTCGTACAAAGCAAGCACTTCGATCACGTCTGTCAATAGGAACCAATGATGCGCCACAGAAACTGAAACATCGCTACATGGATAGAATTCAGCCGGATAATGTCATATCCCTATCTACATACCTATCTCATCCCTCATCGCTCATCCCCATCTCTCATCCCTCATCAACGCCATCCCCCTTCCCCGCCTCTTCGAACACGATCTGAGATGCGGTATGTACGGCTTCTCGGAGGAGAAACGAAAGACATTTAAGGTTGAGGAGAAGCTTCTGGCTGGGAATCTCACCCACTTTATACCCACCGCGCTCACCACAGCTTCTATTGGACGATGACCTGCCAGGTCTAACCATACCATATTTACCGTTTACCATACCATCCCATCCCCCCCCTCATCCCGGCATCATAACCTACAACTATCCTTACTATACCCTTGGGGGCCCTGATCCTTTGATTACCAAAATCCATATGCGTACTATGAGTACTGAGGAGGCTCGAACAGGTGGTCGCCTACTATGGTCAATAATGATACTGTTCTGTAGGATTCACCTATGCCTGCCCCTCCGCGATAGTGAAGCCGAGGCAAGAGCTAGTCAAAATCAGCGCCAGCGTCAACGTCGCCAACGCCGGCGTCGGCAGCACCGGCGCCGTCAGTAGGTGGACGGACCACCCACTTACTACTCGAGGCATCTACTGGACTGGCACTGCGACTTCAAATTCCCATAGCACGCAATATATACCATAGACTCGATCTCTCAATTGAGGCCTCGCTTGTCAGGACGCTACACTGTTACGGCGCATGGAGACGGAAGCCTTTCGTTCCGCCTATCAAGTGCTACAAATACTCGGTCTATTCTCGCGGGTAGTAACATTCAACCCTGAACACGGCATCCGGAAGAATAGGCCGGCAAACATGGGCTCTTCTACAACCACAGCCACGGCAGTATGTGCTTGTCAAATCTGCCTTCTCCTCTACCAGGCTCTCTCCTTCAGTTCATCTCGCAGCGGATCTATATCTCGCTTAACTCGTCAACGTGCCGCGTTTCCATGAGAGTTTAGATAATGTAATGAACCACTTTGGCTTAATATAGAAGATGATGTTTACCGCAATAGGCAGCAGCCTTTTAATCTACCACCAGCTCTGGCTCCTGTCATAATCGTTCTTTACGAGTTCTTCCCCTCTGTATATATAGATATTTTACCTCGGTCTCCTTTCCTTTTTACCTTTTTAGCTTTTTGTTTATTCCAGGCTTTCCGTTCATAAAGCCGGCTTTTCTTTCCAGAGTTTTGTGTTTCCTAAATCTGCCTACATCTCTTCTTAATCGTCCCCACGATGCGTCTTCTTGGCAAATCTGTACGTTCGACGCTATTCATAGTAGGAGGCCTCTTGGCCTACATTACAGCTGCAGCGGAAACGCTAGATAGCTCCGCTATTACTGCTGCCTCGATTCCTACAGAGATATCGGCCTCTGTTAGCTCTTCTGGGAGCATTATTGCGGTCAGTACATATATCTAATAAATATTAAGCTATTGCCAACTTTTCTTGTTCGAAACATGTTGGAGTGAGCATGTCGCTGATCCAATTCTTTATATGCAGTGCGCAATTCTCACTGGACTCTTCTGGGGCAAGGTGGCATACCCTTCGTCCTCTAGCTATGGAGAAGAGAATGCATATTGGTGTAAGTCTTCAAACCACACAGTAAATGCCTTCGAGGGCCCCCCACAAAAAGCTCACACCCCCGTGAATAGCTGCAACTGCGATCCTCTCCCCCACCTGCATCTTCAGCCCAACATCCGCGGTCGACGTCTCACTTGCCGTCAAGATCCTCGCCCTAGCGAAGGTCGAGTTTGCCATCCGCGGGGGCGGCCACACCGCCAATGCCGGCTGGGCCAACACCAAGAAGGGCGTTCTAATCTCACTCTCGGAGCTCAAGACCCTGAACGCAAAGAGCGGGTATGTCGAGGTCGGCGCAGGCCTGCACTGGGAAGAGGTCTACGAGTACCTCGATGCGCGGCAGCTGAGCGTGGTGGGCGGGCGCATGACCGGCGTCGGAGTCTCCGGGTACCTGCTTGGCGGAGGCATCTCGTACATCTCCAACGAGCGCGGCTTCGGCTGCGACAATGTCAAGAACTATCAGGTTGTCCTAGGAGACGGCCGCATCGTCTCCGCAAACGCGCAGACAAACCCCGACCTCTTCAAAGCGCTCAAGGGCGGCACCAACAACTTCGGTATCGTTACCCGCTTCGACCTGTACACATACGCCAGCGCGGGCGTCTACGCGGGGTCCCTCTACTATCTCGAGAGCAGCTTCGATGAGCTCTTTGATGCCACGGCCGCCTACGCCGTGAACAACACCGACATCAAGACGCATGTCATCCCCGCGTTCGTGTCGTTGCCCGGCTACTCAATCGCCGCGTACTACGTCTTCTCGAGCGACCCCGTGACGAGCCCGCCGGCTGCGCTGGAGCCATTTTTCGACATCCCCGCGTTCACGGATACTACGCGAATCACAAACTTCACCGGCGCCACGGAGGAGCTGGGGGCGGGGGATGTGTATGGGATGAGGTTCGTTGATGCATCCCCGATTTGAACCTGGAGGGTGTGGTTATGCTGACAGATCGATCATTGACATCCAGACACTACCTGCAAGCACTAACCATCGTCGCCGACGCCTCGCTCTACAAGGACATCTACGCGATCTTCAAGGAGCTCAACTCCCCGCTCACAACCACCATCACGGGCTTCCAGGCCTCCGTGGCGTATCAGCCGCTGTCGGCGAGCATGATTGCCGCTGGTGCGGCGCGCGGCGGGAATGTGTTGGGGTTGGACGACTCGCAGGGAGTGCTGACTTGTAGGTTCCCCCGGATACTTCGTTATTGACTGGGAGGGAGACATGTGCTGATGGAGATACGCAGGTCTGAACTTTAATTACCGCTGGACAAATACGACGGATGATGCGACGGTTAAGGCGGTTGCGGAGGATGTGATTGGTCAGGCGCGGGAGCTGGCGAAGGCGCGGGGGTTGTTTAATCCTTATATGTGAGTGTTCTCCAAGAAGAAACCAACAGATGGTGGGTGCGGCGACTGACTAGAGTTGTTAGATACTTGAACTATGCGGATCCAGACGCGGAGGTGATCGAGGGTTACGGCGCCGCAAATGTCAAGACGCTGCAGACGGCGAAGAAGAAGTGGGACCCGGAGAATGTGTTTAGCAAATTAGTGAAGGGAGGGTTCAAGGTCCCTATGTAAAGTGGAGAGTGTAAGATTGGGTGGTGTTTGTTTATAACTACATATTAATAGGGTGTTTATGGTTGTAATTTACAATATGTATAACAGGAATATATGAGAGATGGAAGTAAGAACTTGTTCAAGTCTATCTATCGTGAATACGTTCGGAAAGCTTATTTATCTCCTGTGATTGCTCAACCATTCCGAAGGGATTTCTATCTGCAAAATTCCGGACGCTGTCGGCATCACAGGCTGTCACTCGGAACAGGCATGCGCACCTAAATCACCGGATGTGCCGGTCACGATAAACCAACAGGATTTCCCTTGTAGAAACTCCCCCGCGCCTAATCTATCTCGTCTTCCAAAAATAAGAACGTTGAAATTCTAAGAAATAGTATCTGTAGGTAATCAGCAGGACTATAAATTCTATTTCCCCGTTTTCGCTGTTTCGTTTTATTGAAGGTCGGACTAGATAGATCTACAAATTCGGGTGTAAATTCTCTATTGTCGCTTACCCAAAACCAGGGTTTTGACAATTTATTCGCCTGGAAATAGTTATCCTGCCAGAATATATCCTTAATTGCTTCTAAAACCAGATCATATATGCCTAATAAATCGTTTTTTCGTCGGGGCTATTGGCGCGGATTGTCGGTTAATCGAGACCGGCACCATAGTCCCTTTAGATAAACGGGACCAGACAGTGATAAAAGCCCAAATCACAAGTACAAAAAAGCCTCCTACATGACATGCCCGGCCCCTCTGGTCCCGCCGTCATTCGGCCGGCCGCATACCCGGCAAACAACGGCGGCCACAGATGCGTGGGGTATATTGAGTGCAACGCAAAATGCGAGCGTCTCACGAGCCACGCCATGGGGGGCTAAACAGAATTGATCTCGTGCCATTCATACTACACACTGTCGGGGGCGGCTATCTCTGTCTTCCCCCGTGGGCGGGCTCGGCGGTGAGCACCGGCTCTTCGGGCAGGCGCCGGCGGTATTCGTCTCTGGCATGACAAGACTGGCAGCCGGGGCTAAAGGCCACGTACGTACGTATCTAGACTAGATGAAGTAACGTGTATGCATACCGGCAGATAGAACAATTGATCATCCTCTGAGCTGTCCATAACAGCACTTTCCGTTGCCGCCGACGAGGAGAGAAACCATATCCACCATGATATGCCCTGAGTAAAGCCTGGCATGCCGCGACATCTCAGTAACAGCAAAGAAGAGCGAATGGTTCCCTACAGGAGCGGCAATTCTTTCCCTTGCTAGATGACGTTTAATGGGGGTTGAATTCAAGGATGGAAGCGTTGGGACTGGGCGGCAGAGCAAGTCGTTGGCTATCCAGCCCCTGAGCTTCTGTTTCCACGCTAACTGGGCAATGGCAATGGGAAGAGATGTGAGGAGGGCCTGGGGTTGGAATCTTCTACCGCTTGCTGGTGACGTCTTTGCTCTGTGGTTCAAATGGCATAACGTTAAAGCCCGTCCGGTCCACTCCGCCCCAAAAGATCCAGAATCATCTTATACCCCGGAGAGAAATTAACGGCCAATAATCTCAGTGACCATCACGGCTATTGACAGCGTGGCTCCAATACTCAGTCAAAAGCCCAACCTCCTCAACCTGACAACCCATGTGAAAAGCCGGCCATGGAACAGCCGGCTTCGTTGTCCTCTTCTCCACGAGTGAAGCCGTAGGCTGGCTATAACATCTTCAATATGCGTTCCGTCCTGAGGCATTGTTACGGCATCAATCGCGCTGATGAAAGTTAGGTCACGCCAGTTATATCATGAGGATAGAACTGTAGATGCTGCTTCCCTGACAGACCCCAGTCTACACGCCAGAAAACGCGCAGCGCAAAAGCTAGCCGGTCCGAAACCCAAGCCCAAGCCCCAAAGACGGCGGTAAGAGACCCAATGTCAATGATCAGATTGCAACAAATCTGCGCATAGCCAACAATCTAGCCAGGGGGAGATCGCGCAAACAAGCAAAGAAGCGACAAAAGGACCTGAACCCCACGTTTATTGATGTTGTTGCGATGATGGAAAATCGGCGACGGGGGGCTGAGAGGCGTTTCCTGCATAGTGGTGGCGATCCTCTTTTGTGGGGTTGAGTAGAGTAGTAGTAGCCGTTGTTGTGCAGCCGTAGCCTTGCGGCAGGAAAGCTTAGCTAAAGGGAGAGCGCCGCGGTCCCTGCAGGGGTATTCAGCAGATGTTCAGCACGATCACGGGATGAAGGTGGATCCTAAATTCTGATGGCGATCATAGAATTAATTTGAGGCCAATAGGTAGTAGAGTTGACTTGTGACGCCAAGGCCAAGATACTGCAAACACATCCATCAGACAGGACCCGCTGGCGATCACCAGGTGAGCGAATGTACCTAGGTAGAGAGATAGACAGGCATGTAAGACATTCCCACCCATAGTTGCCTGGAGTCAATCGGGCTGTGGGTGTGGCCGCGGGTTGGTGGCCGTTTTGGGAGTCGGTTATGTACTGGGAGGGTGGGCTGTGCTAGAGTATGTGGGGAGAAAAGCTTTTTGACAGGAAACGAAAGATGGAGAGTTCAATTAAGTTTGGGTTTAGAGTTTATTGGATACGCGGACACGATAATCATTGTCTACGATAAGGACAAATTGTCAAGAGGAGTAAATTGCAAAGAAAATTGATCAGGAAACACTACCACACTAAGCAATGCAGCCAAGTACAAAAAGAAAATCTCATATAGTATGCAACTAACAACGTCTAAGAGACTCGTAACCAAATTGTCCTATAAAAAAAAAAAAAAAAAAAACGCTAATAACGAGGCATCAAGAAGTGGAACCAATAGCTAGAGAGAAATTATAGAGAAAAATCAATCATGCAGCAATAACAAGGAAAGTAACAAAGAGAAAATAAAAACAAAAAATAAAAACCATAAGAAAGAGGCCGGGGGCCAAGTCACAAGTAAAACGCCAACTCGTTATGCAATCTTAATAAAGTAGAAATCGAAAGAAGAAAAAAAAAGAGGAAAACATAAGAAACCCAACCACGGCGGTGTGCCAAGTAGTAGTAGTAGTAGTAGCAGTAACAGAAACAGTAGTAGTCCAAACCAACCATCCACGACTAGCCTAACCAGTCAAAGTCAACCAACTAATCACCCCAGCCGGGCAACAAATCACCTAAAACTACCGCAAAATCTCAGGAATAACGAATCGAACTGGACTGGAATATTGGCCTTCGGATTGGTCAAATGCTTGTTGAGCCTCAATCCCACAGACCCAAAGCGTAACTTTTGGTCATCTTGACCAATGGGTAAGTGGTATTCCAGCCCAGTCCGATTCGTTATTCCTGAGATTCTGCGGTAGTCAACCAAGTAAATCAACCAACTAACCACCCAACCCACACTACCACTCCAAATCCTCAAATCCTCAAACCTCCACCAACCACCACCTTAATCCAACCCCACCTTCTCCAGACTCATCCCCCTAACATACGTCTCCGCCGTACTAGTCGACAACCACGACGCCTCACTGGCATTCGTATCCGCCCTGGCTACACCCTCCTCGCCCACCGACGACGTCGTCTTCCGCCTCGGGGTCGCTGGCCGGCCCTCTGCCATCTTGCCCACCAGCCGCTCAGACGGCTTCTGTGGTGCCGATACGGACCGGAGGAGCTGTGGGCGGGTGATGGTGCGCCGGATCGTGCGCTCGCTGGCGTAGATCACGAGCGGGAGGGACAGGCAGGCGATGATGATTCCGAGGATGGGGAACACCATTGTCGCTACTGCGCTTTGCGGGGTGTTAGAGGCTGTGGTGATAAGAGATAGAGGGATGGTGGGGAAGTAGGGAGGCTACCTGGAGCTTGTGCGGTGTAGCTCTTGTAGGTTTGCTTGGGAGCTTCTACTAAAAGTGGCTTGTATTGCTTGTATATATCGAGATAGTGTTCTTGGAGCCTATTTCTTACTGAAGAGCTTGAGGAGTGAGATGATCACAGGCGCAGTAGAGTAATATTTGTATTGCTTTGTTTGTTCGCTTTGCTTTGCTTTGCAGGTTCACGCACAGCTGCAGAGGAGAGAAGAAGGCTTTTATCTGCACTTGGAGAAGAAAAGCAGAGCTTATATAGCCCCCTCCTCCTCCAGCTGCTGCCATCGAGTCACACATCTCCCACCATCCAGTAGAGATATGATGTATGGTGCCTTCTCTGACTTTGTGACTAAGAATGTCCAGACAGCGTGTGTGCGCAGTGGAGTTTCATGAGGTCATGAGTCTCTACACCGGGCGTTTACTGTGGTGATCACCAGGGAGGTAGGTATGTACATGTACATGTAGCTATCTAGGTAGCTCACTGGCTGGCTGGCTAGCTAGCTAGCTAGCTAACTGGCCACTTTCATAAACAGCAAGTTGACTACGCCAGAATGGTCAATACAATACAGCAGTGGCATCTTTTGGCGCCGCGGAAAATGAATGAATGGTAAGCGGGTGAGATTATCTTCCCCTCCCTCGCTCCCTCTCTCCCTCCCACACTCCCTCCCAGCGGGCGCAGGTACGGAGGACCTGCAGCGTGTGTGCTTCTAGAAGGAAGATTGTCCAATATCTGCACAGGGATTTATGGGTGGTGGGGATATTTCACAGAAACCAGCAGTGGCGGGCTGTGTGCCTTGCAGTGGCAGAGTCTTAAAATAGCAGGGGATGGGCAACCAGCGACTTGTGACTATGGGGCTCTCGGTATTCACGGCAGCTTCACGAGGGAGGGTGGATGACAGAGAGTAACAGAGGCAGGAACAGCAACAACAACAACAAACCACTTCATCATAGTGCATAGATACCGGTTTCTCTAGAGTACCACTTCTAGCTCCTGTCTGCTGGAGTTGACGTCTTTGTATGTTGCCGGCGAAGGCCTAGGGGCGTGACGCGGCTAGCACTAGTATGTACTCAGTCAGGCAATCACCTGATTGAGATGCACTTTCAACCAAGGCACCGGCGAATGACTACTGCCCTCCGGAGATTGAGACGGGGATATTCATTGGAGCCTTCCTTCGTCTACAGCGTGGAGATTCGACTGCTATTCAAATCCTCCGACGCGGGGAGGGAGGGGAGGGGAGAGTTAGATTTGTAAGGAAGGCCGCCTGATGCTTGGATGAGATTCGAGCCACTGTTTGAATCTTCGTGCTTCTCTTCGACACTCTGCTTGTAGCTACATAGTATAACCTCTCATGATGCTGATGAGAATGACGATGATGATGATGAGAAGGGCTTTCCAGAATGCCGCTAGACTTGTGTTATGTTTACATATATATATATATATATAGTAGTATATTAATGTTATTTATAAGAGGATCTATAATCTAAAGTATTTGCATACCTCTCTCTAGCTTGTAATCAGTTAATTTATTTATATGAGTCAAATCGGGTCTCCAAATAATCATAGTAATAGATGGACCCTTGATCTTCGTCTCCTTGATCCCGTCCCTCGTCCTTGATCTATGACACGACCGCTAGCGAGCCACTCGTGACGCCCGCAAACCCGTCATTCCAATCCTTTCTCTCAGCCCTGCCAAGCCATCGGGATCTACAGCGGCTCCTTCACACCCCCGCCAACGTCAACCACACCCGAATCCCACACCCGAATCCACACTCTTCACTCTACATCATATCTCGAGTCCATACACCAAACCCCCCCCCCACCTCGACATACCAAACCTCACAATGCCTCTCACAATAATCCGCACCGTCCCGGACGCCGCCAAATACACCCCTCTCACCACACACCAATCCGCAACCCCGGCCTCGTTCACCACCCCCGTCCTCCACTTCCGCAACGAATCCACCACCCTCGTTCTCGCCGCCACGCAGACCCCCCTCCTCCCCATCTTCGGCGGCCACAAAGACGCCGCGGAGCCCGAAGTCGTCGTGCCCGGCATCGACATCTGGGTCACCTCCGAGTACACCCCCTGCACCCCCGGGCCCTCATACACACCAGCCAACTAACTAACACCCTACAGGAACCTAATCCTCTACAATCCCTCCCTTACCGTCGGCGTCGAGCTCCCCTACACCTCCGTCACCCTCCACGCGATCCAGCGCATCCCGCACGGAAAAGGCATCTACATGCAACTCGCGCTCTCTCCTTCCGCCGCCCAGACGTCCAACAACGAGGCCTTCGACGATGACGACATGCTCGAGCTGACCGCGCTCCCTTGCAGTGGCGACAACGAGGACGCAACCGTCGACGCGTTCTTCAAGGCGCTGAGCGACTGCGCGAACCTCAACCCGGACCCGGACGCGAGCGGGAGCGACGACGAGGGCATGGACGGGCAGGTCATGTTTGAAGGAGGCGCTGGGGCCACGCTGGAGGGCTTTCCCGGAGAGGGCGGCTGGATCACGGCGGAGAATGTAGACCAGTTTCGATTTGAGGATGTGGAGGGGGAGGGGGAGGAGGGGGAGTTTAGGATTTTGGGTCCCGGGGCGGGGACGGTGAGGGCGAGGAGTGAGGAGGAGGAGGGGGAGGCGGAGTTAGAGGTGGTGGGCGGGGAGGAGGCGAAGTGGAGGAGGACGGAGTAAGGGTGGTTGGGTGGTGGGGAAAGATCTGTATCGTATTAGGTACGTCTGCTGCTCTTCCTGGGGGGAAAATTGATTAGAGGTCTGGTTTTTTCTGCTGCTGAGATTAGGTAGTGGTGTGATTGAGACTTTGCGTCGTGATTTGACTTGACAGCTTAATTGACCAACCAGGACCTGTAGAAGGTTTAGAGAATCAATGGCCCAAAATAATAGCAATAAAAGCGAAACGCATAGCACAAATAAAACTAAATTGCCTGATCCAAAGTTCTAGTAATAATCCCAATAAGGGTTTTATCTGAGACATCATGAGATACCTCTCGTTGGCCCGTGCAAGCATGAGTGATAATTGATGACCACAACCAAAAAATCCAACCATGCACCCCGCCTCTCCTCCACCGCCCCCACCTTAAGGCTTAAAGCCGACCCTCGATATCGGCCCAAGCATCTGGATAAATCCAACTACTTTTGCAAATATGCAACCACCCCCGCCTCAAGTATGATGGAACTACATACACATAGAGCGAACCGCAACTGACTACAGAGCCCGCCGGGGCGATTGGAACATGTCTTTCATGCCTCGGCATAAATGATTTATCAATGACTAGTAGAGCACTTGAGGGTTCAAGCCGTTAAATGTGGATGCCTTAATGTCCGAGGTGGGTGAGGTGCATAGAGGATATATACTACCAGGGCTAGGGTTTCTTTGAGTGCTGCTTGATCTGAACCAAGTATGTAGGCTAGAGAAGAACAGTTGATAAGTGCAATTGTTATCGTTTAAAACCAGAGATTCCGAGTGCGCCTGTGGGGCTGTCATTGCCTGGGCTCGTTCGTGGGGGGGGGGGTCGGGACTGGGCTAGCTGCGAGTATGGATGCCTGAAAACAGGCGTGGCTAGTATGAATGCCCGAAAACCGGCATGGCCAGTGTTAATGCCTCAATGACGGCGCATCACAACCAGAGCGGCGGAAAACCGGTACCTCGAGGTGCCATGAAGTACCTAGGTACATGGGCCATGAAGTAGGCCTTGGGGCCATGAAGTACCTACAGTCGCACCTCGTTATGTCGTTAGCGTATTCTGGGAGCCAAACCCCTACGAGATAGAAAGTATACGAGACAGCAAATGGTTTTTGGTGGAGAAGGGCAGTACCTGTCCCGCAAATCCGTACGAGATAGCAAGAGATCCGAGATATCTAATTACGAGATAGCGAGGTGCGGCTGTACCTACATACTCTACATGTATCAACGTGATTACTCCTCCGATCACGCACACCACTGCATCACATGGGAGCGCATACATAGCCGTCGAGATGCGGATGTGGTGTAACACAATGCGCAAGCCAAGTGCTTTTCTGATTGTTGTAGGCCGTAATTATTAGAGGCTTTTAGCCACCAGCAACCAGAAATCCACGAACTAACAATTCATTATCTCGGCCCCGTAATTACTCTGAGAGGGAAATCTTTGGCATTAGGATTGAATATATCTCTAGGTGTATCCTTGAGTCTTGCAGCCGAATATATCACATCCAACTTGCATGTCTAGGAAGTCTTGGGAGTAAATAATTTTTTGTTCGTTGCTTTAAGGTGCTGGCTAAAAGTCTCTAATACAATATATGATCTTGTCGAGACTCGAGAGAGTAGGCTCTCTAAAGAATACAATGTTCCTCTGTGTGCAGGCGCCATCCGAGACACTCCAACGTAACTACTGTCGTTCACGGGGTATTGGCGGATACTGGGTATTGGCGAATTGCAGGTAAAAGTTGGCTTGGCTGTCTCTTTTTTGCCCTGTCCGCCATCACCCAGTATCCGCCAATACCCCGTGAACGACAGTACCCCGCTTCTCCTTCAGGCATGCTACCGCTCTACTCGACAGAACTCCAGTTCTAGCTGTACCTTCCTGGTACTTTTGATCTTTCTTTTGCTTTCCCCTGTGCATCCCGTGCCCTGCCGGTCACTATCCCTGCACCGTGCAATGACCTCAACACATCAACGCCTCGATCAGTATGCTTATCGTCGATAGAGTACCTAATGGGTGGTGGGAATCACCCTCCCTGTTAACAAACTATTATAGGCATAGCTAACTCGACCCTTTGCTGCAACTGCAAGCTTTCTGCGGAAGTAAGCGAAAAAAAAAAACCCCTTCGGTGCCTAGGCTAGACTGTGCAGCGTTTTTTTCCCGCCCTAGGTTACATATATCAATCGTGTAGAGTAGATAATGGGGCACTTTCTCCCCCTCGAAGAAGCTTTCCACAAATTCAATATACCTAGGATCTATCTCTGCCACTAATTTCTTCTCCCTCCACCTAGCTAACCTCAGTCCTCCTGGTTTACCAATTGAAAATCTCTTCAAGAGTGGTGAGTCCGCGTTTTGATCATTGATCTTCATGGTGCTGGTTGTGGTATTGATGCGTATCTTCGGGAATAGATATCAATCATCTTCCGCGCCTACTCGTCGTTCTCAACCCAGATAATCAAATATTATCAAGACAAAATATGGAGCTTGAGTTGTCCACGTCTATCGACTTCTCGAGTGATAGGGATACATCTATACTCCCACTTTTAAACTGGGATAAACATCAGGCAACGAGCAGCAAACGGCAGGACCGCCATGGTAGACCGTCGTCACTCGCTAAAAACCTATCCCATTACCGCGAGAAGCTCATCCTCAGCGAAGATGAGTCCGGGGAGGGATCGGTAACGGACATTGACTCGGATGACGACTCGTTCCATTCTTGCCCCGATACACCACCCCTGTTAAACCGTGTTCGAAAGATATCTGAGCTTGAGGCCGAGGGGGAGCCGGCCTCAAGCTCAAATCCCCCAGGAAGTGGAAGTTTAAGCGAAACCTTCCAGAGACCCCAACGCATGGAAAATTCATACCCTAGTTCGGAAATCTTCCAGAAAACATCATATCTCCGTTCATCTGGATTGGGAGGAGCCGGCAGGCATAGACCACAGCTATTAAAACAGACCCCCGGAGCGGCTCCTGGGATACATCGAGGTTCCAATACTTCAGGTGGTTACAATAAAATCGGACAGGATTATAGCCCTTCAAGGAACCCTAATGCGTCTGTCGACAAAACCCGAACCGTAAGGGCCAGTGCTAATTACAAGCCGAGGACTCGGACTCCACGCCTATCCGCAGTTGAGACTGAGGAAATATACAATGGGGATCTCGATAGTGAAACAACAGACATCGATGATGTCAAAATAGACCCCGCCACTGTAAACAATCGGCTTTCTATGCACGCAAAACATGATGAACTTTCTCTTGTTAGACATTTAGGGAATGGTGGATCGGGATATATGGGTATAGGTGCGGGCGGAGAGGACGACGATGAAGAGGAGATTGCTTTTCGGAAGATGGCTGTTGAGTTCTTTGGGGAAGACTCTGTATCCTACCCAGGCTCTCCATTGGTATCTAGCGCTGCTTCCTCGAACAGAGAAGGAGGAGACTTGACATTCGAGGAGGACGAGGAGAAAGCCTTTGATGAGGTTTCGGGTTTTCCCGTTGATGATTTGTGGGATGACCTAGGCAGGGCAACAATCACTCGGCAGCCAGAGGGAGAGGGAGTACGAGGAGAGGGAGCGCGAGGAGAGGGAGTGCCTTTTGTGGTGCCGGGGAAGGATCATAATGTCAGTAACGATGAAGACCATGACGATGATTATGGCACAATAGATGACAGTTTCGAGGACGAGGTTATGAGTGAGTCCACCCCATGCAAACTATCTTATAAGAAAACACTCGTATCCATATCTTGTGTATTTGTGCGGTCTTTCTTTTTCTGTTAGGGGAACAAATGCATGTTAATAATAATACATTACTGGCCTTCATCATAATACTGTTTCAAGATGAAAGCCTCCTAACTGGAGCCGTGTGGGATTCTTTCCTCATTCACTTATCTAATACCGAGTGCTTAAATAGATCATCCAGCCTTGAACCCAGCGGCACACCCTTTACCAACGCTTCCTTTTGCCGTGCAGTGGGAAGCCACCCGAGTAGCTCTCGACCGGAAAATCCAGTCAAACAGTGCCATTTGTGCCTATCTCAATGGCTTCTGTGATGATCTCTTCAATGCAGAGGAATATAACGACGTGTGGAAAACTTTGACTCGGTTTTCAGAGGCCGCAAAGCTTCTGGAAAGGACCAGTGAAGCTATTTGGACGAGTCTAAAGCATAAACCTGGATGGCTCGACAGTACTTACCTCACGGGGTCGGTCCACTTTGGCACCCGAAATATGGGGTCAGAATCTAAGACCCCTCCACAAATAACACTCAATCCACTACTAAGAGCCCGTGGAAATCGATTCTTCAATCGATTTGGGTCTGATAGATTTCTACATCTTCGGCTTCCATCCTTTCAAAAGCTCTCAAATGATGATTCTGAAAAAGCGCGTGCCCGGATCACCGATTGGTTGGTGGAGGAAGAATTAGAACTCCTGAATAGAAGATGGAAGTGTTTTTTCATCAAGCATCCCAAGGACAGTGCGAAAAACTCGACTGTGAAATCTTTTGATCAAGCGGTATTTTTCGCTACAGAGGGTGTTGGGATTGGGGAAAACCTCGATGAGCAGGAACTAAAGGCATTAGGGTTTATAAACGACAACAGGAAATTGAGGCACAAAATGAGTGCTCGTGATTTACTGGAGTGGCATATTCCCCTCCAAGGAAAAAACTTGAAAGAGACGGTCTCAAAGTTTTGGTCGAGAATAAGTTTAGGTTGGTACTCTTGCATATACCCATGGATATTGAGCTGAAACTCTTAAGGATTCTCTGATGGAACACCCACCGTTACCGTCAACCCCTCGATGATTGAATTTGTCAATGGTTTTCGATCTCCTATCGGCGAGGTGATGGATGACGGCTGCTCTATCATCTCTCCGGCACTGATGAAAATGGTCCGTCGGGAGCTTGGTTCTGATTCAACACCAACAGCTGTTCAAGCGCGCATAGGCGGTGCCAAAGGTGTCTGGATGGTGGATCCTGACGGCGACTGGAACTCAGAAGAGCTCTATATAAAGGTCAAAACAGATTCACAACTGAAATACGAGGGTCACGAGAATGATAATGACTGGGCAAGGTTAACGTTGGACGTTCTCACTTCATCACACGACCCAAAACCAGCAAATATCAATACTCAGTTGATTCCAATCCTTGCTGATCGTGGTGTGCCTTTCTCGGTAATGAAAGAGCTTCTGGAAGAACATCTGGAAGGGCACCTTAATGAACTCTTCCAGACAATCGATGAACCCGTCCAGTTACGAAAGTGGTTATACGACCATGGGGGCTTGGCAAGGAAGCGCATTAGTTCAAAAACTATGCCAACTTGTGGCGCTCTGCCAAAGAATACGCACGAGATTTCCATACTACTACTTGAAGTAAGATGGCATCCTCCCTCACGTAATAACATGTGAAATTAATAGAGCTTATAGAGCGGATTTTTGGTGCGCGAGTGCCAATATCTGTACACACAGGTCTCATCGTATATCGATCAGCACTGTGAAAATTTAAAGAAGAAGCTGCACATAAGAATTCCCCATTCAACACGTCTCCTTTGTGTGGCAGATCCAACATTCACGTTGAAGAAGGGCGAGGTATCCCTAAGGTTCTCCAATGGAATCCTAGACCCAAAAACCATGAGGCGGACGACTGTCATACTTGGCGATATACTTGTAGCGCGAGAGCCGGCCCATTTACCTTCAGACATACAAAAAGTGGGCATTCTGGTCACCGAGTAAAACTTGATGAGTCTAATCGAGAAATCTTAGGTTAAAGCAGTTGATATTCAGGACTCCCCAAAGCTGAGAGAGTTGCAAGATGTTATCGTATTCTCTGTTGAAGGTAACAAGAGCCTTGCATCTTTACTGTCAGGAGGAGACTTTGACGGTGATAAGGTGAGAATCTTTGTTAAATTAGTTATGAGAGTCAATTACATCTCTATCATTGCCTAGCTAATTCCCGTTTGGTGACGGTAACCAGCCTTGGGTTTGCTGGGATGAACGTGTAGTCGCATCCTTCCAAAACAGTGACAGTACATTCGACGAATACCGTGAACGGGTTGAAGCAGAATTTGAGAGGTCGGACGAACGGATGGAAGACCTAGAGCCACACGAGCCAGATTTTTACAATCGCTTTTTGAGAATCGGAATAGCGAACTCCCTCCAGGAAAACTTCTTGGGGCGTTGTACTAGTGCATGGGACAAATTTTCCTACCGCAACGGGATTTCAGACCCCCAAGCCATTGAAACAGCGATAATGTGTTCTTTCCTTGTCGATGCTCCAAAACAGGGGCTATCGATCCGCCCTTCGAAAAGGGAACATGTAATAAAGATTTCGAACCGACTTGAACAGCCTGCGTACAAAGACCCCGGGGGCAGGGGAAATATTTTGAGAAATAGCACTAATGTGATTGATCGGTTGCTCTTTGTCGCTGAGCAGAAAGTGGAGGAAATGAAGATCGCATTCAACAATGGCTTTGGAGGGACCTGGAAGTATGACCCGATGTTGTCGAAACTCTATCATAACGAATGTGAATTGGCAAAAGGAGAGGCGGGAGAGCCATTGCGCAAAACGTTATCCTATCTGAGAGACGAATTTCGCAGGTTGTATAACTCATGGCGGGTGGCAGCGAACTCTCAATGTGGGTATAAAAACAATGTTTCAAGTCATTATAGTCAGTTCAAAGAGATAATGCCACCGAAGGATTTGCTCAAGGACCCAGTCATCAGTCGTTTGGTCCTGAACGCAAATTCCAACCTTTCGTACTGGAGTCTCCTCAGAGCCTCCGCAGCACATTATATGTGGCATCCAGAACACTCCCAGGCATTTATGTGGCTCATGGCTGGTCGCGAACTTTGTTTTATCAAGTCTCAAGCAATGGGGAGCAAGTCTGAGTTTGGGCCACGGACAATGATAGAGGAGATGTATGTCCCCTTGAAAACTAGTGGGAGGTATCAGAAAATCAGGAAGATGGACCAGGATGATGACGAGGAGGAGGAGAAGGAGGAGGAGGAAGATTTCTTGTAATTATTGACCTCAAATACCATCGTAAGTTTTTCTCTGGACTGTTCCTTTGAATACAAATCAATTGACCCAAGATACACAGCCAGAATTCGATGCATAATACCCCATTGATTGACCTTTCGATATAAAAGAAAACGGACTGTAGTCTCACAGTCCCAAAACCTTCCTAGCGCATTGTCTAACTCTCCTTGCATATTCCTGTTTATTATCCCTCCAAACCTTTGAGGCATCGATATTCGCCCCACTCTCGTCGTTTGGCTCGGCAAGCATGCTCATCACACTAATGAGGATTTTCTCGACACTTTGGATGGGCGACCAGCGTTCGCTGGCATCCTCATATTGGTTTGGGTCGTCACCGGGGGAATGCAGGATTGAGATGCATACGGTGCCGTCCTTGTAAACGTTGGGGTGAAACATTTCACAAGTAAATCTCATTTTTGGAGGATTTAGTGGATAGTCCTGATATTATGTATAATAGTTTTATTAGCGTTTGAATTTCACACATTCTTACACTTCTCAAAAAGCCATGCTACCGGATCCCTTCTGAGGCTGAGTGAACATACTTTTGGGAAGCTTAATGTCGCTGGGAAAACACCACCCTCGAACGGGGTTTCGTCGGGGCCTTGTATCAAGCACTCCCATTCAAAAAGATTTGATTCGTCAACTGGACCGGCGACAATGCCCTCCGGCGACTCTCTAAGCAAGGCCTTGTATTCTTTGAGTAGACGTTTGTTGGCTGCGGCAAACGACATGTTGGTGATGGGTGGTCGATAGATGTGGTGAGGTGACGAAGCTTGCCGCGTATAGAACGGTAGGTATGTACATACCTATATGTACCTACATACATCCTAGTTTGCTCTCCATACTTTCGATCACGTGTTAATTATTGGGGCGTGATCTTACTAGCGATCTAGCTAATCTAATCAGATCAGCGCTGCTAACCACACCCTTACTTAGGGTTAGGCATACCCAGAATCCAAACTTAAGGTGTTTCCTATAACGATCAGAAACGATCTATCGGCTCGAGAGTTAGACTGACAGTATGTAGAGTACTAGATCTCAGAAATAGACCCATGATGGCTTCGGTTGGATGATGGTGATCAGGGGCAGACCGAATTCGGCAGCGAGAGGGAGGTTTTTTATTTATTTATTTATTTATTTATTTGTTTATTTTTACACGCCGTGTTTGGGCTCATGGTTTGCGGGAACGGATTGCTCGCATATTTGCACCTAGCCTAACCGGGTATTGTTGTAGGTACATGTACTAAGCCTTTCATCATGGCACTTGCCAGGTTACATGTACAGTATCCGGTAGAATTATTGCGAAAGTCAGAACTAAAAGGGTGGGTTTCTTGGCCCGTGCTCACTGCAAAAATTCCTTTGAGGGCCAATGGGACTATCGGGTCACGGAAAACCCACTCTCGCATTAATTCTACCAGAATCTGTAGCTTATTATTGTGCTTTATTTCACTAGAGTACATGTACTTGTACTTATCAGAAGCCTCGCTATACAAAACTCTTCCTGTATAGGAAGATGGGCGGGGGGAGGGTGGGAGGTGGGGAATGGAAGTAAAGCAGAGACTTATAGATTATATATGATACGTGCTGTAATATACACTCTATGAATTTATGTGCGTGTTTTCGACAAGTGTGTGTAAGTAAGTATACGAGGAGGATGTATACAGAATTGTGTAGAACAATAAATTGGTGTAAAACACTTCTGGCAACTGGGGATTCGTAACAGTATTAATGTACTCTACCTACATAGCTTGATGATCCGTTGCGCCTTCTCTACCGTCCTCTACTCTAGAGTAAAGTCACAGGTATTGGGATATACTACACGTATTAGTTAAGTTACATCCATAAAGTCACAGGTATTTGAGTTTACTACACATACATGAGTTAAGTTACATCCAAACAAAATTGTTATGATACTTGTTAATGAGCTGGCGGTTGCCTCCGGCGCTATTACCTATTGAAGATTGAGCGCAAGGGCCTCTTTTCTGCTAGTCTTCTCGCTTGGGTAGACCCTGGATTGGAAGGCGTTCTACATGTATTTTGCCGGCGTAAGGATAGACTCCGAGTACAGTCTCCCTCCGCTATCCTTAGACGGATGAAATCATCAAATTCGCAGCCTGGACCGTGCACGCACAGTTGGGTATATCCGTTGCTCTTAATGGTTGATAATAGACCTAGAGCGAATCAAAAATAAGTGTTAGATACCTGCTTAGGCTAGTATTAGCTCAAAAAGGCAAGCTGCGAATTTGACAGTTTCATCCGTCCAAGGGATAACGAACCTGCATATTCCAAAATTTCTTGTTCGATGCAGCAGATTATTCGGTACAGCAGATAATATTCCATCATTTTCTATGTGAAATTGAAACTCGGATCACCAAAACCCGTTCGTAATAGCAGATTTGTGGCTTTATTGGCATTCGGTATAGCGGAGGTAGACTGTACCCGCGGCCGTAGGGTAGACTCTGCTGGACCTCTAGCGTAGAGTAGAGTAGGTACATGTATGTAGGTACATCACACAGAGTATTGACGACTGTCCTTCACTGGAACTTGACGAGTACCACTGGACCGTGTTAACGAACAAAACAAAGGAGTAGAGCAGCCAAGCTCTTTAAATTTCTCTGGCTTAAACCTCCCTGTCTATCAATAGCAGATATCCATTCTTACTCATGATTCAGGACACCGGAGCCTGGAGGGAAGACTCACAATCCCTGTTGTAAATCGACTGAACGAGCAAGGGCCATTCCTCGTTTATTACGTTTGGTAGAAGAAGACAAAATAAAGTACAGACCTATGCATGATTGTGTCATTGATAAAGGATTAGAAGAATTGATCAGGCTATTGGAGAGGAATATCGAACTGTAACAACGATACCAAAGCGTTGCTGAGCTTAGAGGATCAAGTGTGTGTATAGAGCGCATATATACAAATACATAACCTCACTTTTCAGTATTTTATCTACAAACTGCAGACATATACATATGCAGGTACGTACAATGCACATACATGGAGTAAATACATGTGCCTACATGTACTCTACTTGATGTAGAGTAGAGTACAAGTACTCTACTAGTAAAGTTGGCAATGCCGCTAAAGAGAGGTGCAAGCTGCATTGTTGCACTGGCATGGAGTTAAATGAGTGGTCAGGAGAAGGTCTAAACGGTCTAGTCCTACTTAGTCGTGGGCTAGGGATAAAAGTAGTAAGTGGCTACCCGCCAAACAACCTCCTGGGTTCTAAGTTCTTGGTTAAACAACTGCTCGTGCTCTGGCCTCTCTGTCTCGGTCTGCAGGCGCGTCTATTTCGGCAATTCATCGATACAAACCTGTATGTATGTATGTACTCTAACTATCTAGTTTCCCAAGATTCGAAATGCCTAGATGAAATGTGGCAGCTGGCGTCGTTCTTCGGTGTGATGCAGCAACCGGATTGGCAGTGTACATCAATCAGTGCCTATGGCCGCTACAATACTCTTTTGACAAAGAACCTCCAACAAAAATTTGCTTGTTCTACTGCTCTAATTACAGTGTGTAACTTCGATTCTAAGTGTTTCTGTTTTCCAGGTTGGATATATCTGCCTTAGTACCAGGTATTACTGTTGAGCAGATTGATGAACCTATTCTGCACTCTGCCGGGGAGATCCTCTCCTGCTTGCTGCTGGGAACCCCGCGCATCTGCTTGATTCACAGCCGCATCTCTTAGGCCTGCTGCCGGTGCTTCCCTTCTGGTCGTGGTTCTCCCTTTCTGGACCCTCTCCCACTTCTCCTCCTCTCCTCCTCTCCTCCTTTCCGTTCCCTCACAATCTTTCCTTTGCTGCTGCTACCACTACCACAAGTGATATCACAGCTTCCACTGCGTGATTTCTCCTACTTTCCCCTACACTCAACGTGACCACCAGAAATATAGGTAATTACTATTGAGTCCTATCTTCTTGCTTTTCTTCCCCCCCTTTCTCTGGGACACCATCACCGACAAACGAAACAAACAAAACAAGAAAATAAAGGCAGGTGGTGATGGGTCTTTTCTCTAAGAAGAACGGATCTAGAGCGAATTCCGTCACATCGGATAGCACTGGAAGTAAACCCGGTAGGAAAGGTTCTCAGACTTCCCTGGCAAGTACTATCAGGTCCCCCACGACAGGTCAACCAGGGAGATCTTCGTCGTCTGGAAATGCCTCCCCTCCGTTGCCAGCAATCCCTTCGATAGAATTACCTCCCGCGCCTGATCCAGGTATGGACCCTTCGGGCTATCTTAGGAGCATTTATGCCGTCAGAGAACGATCGAAATTCGTAATTCAGGCTGCTCTTAAAAACCAGTTGACCAATTTTACTGTGGATATGGAAAAGTTTAAGGACGTTGCGGAATACGTGGTTTCTATTATAAAGGTACCATTTCTTCACTCTGGCATTTCTTTACACTTTGTCTCTGGGTATATAACTGATTTTGCTTGTGCTGGATCGGGAAATACAGAGAGATTACGCACCTGACTACCACACAATTCCTCCCCATGGTCGCTGGCAGCACTTTGAGGTTGGCGGACGGCCTCGAATCGACCAATTGATAAAATCATGGCCATCGAGTGTGGATACAGCAGAGCAAACAAGAAGATTGATTGATCTCTTTCTAGTTTCTGTGTTGCTTGATGCTGGCGCTGGCACCAAGTGGCAGTACAAGTCTCAGGACAATGGCAAAATATATCGCAGAAGTGAGGGACTAGCTGTAGCAAGTTTAGACATGTTCAAAGAGGGTCTTTTTAGTAGCAATCCTGAGCAAAAAGAGCAGGTTGATGGTGGGTTTTTCTAGCTATTCCATAAACATCAAGCTCTCTGGAGCTCCGCTCACGTGCTCGATTATCGGGATCAACATTGACTGACCTTGAATAATGCTCTGTAGGGATGGCGTTGAAGGGACTGACCGTTGAGATTCTTGCAAGAGGCCTGCAGATTTCAGATAGCAATCCCATGGATGGCCTCGAGGGTCGGTCATCGCTTTTGATAAAGTTGGGAGAAGCTTTAGACAATCAGGATTTTTTCGGGGTAGACTCGCGCCCTGGAAATATGCTTGGTACGTCTCAAACCATGATGACTGTTTGACATTACCATCCTAACCAGGCTTTCTAGACTACCTTTTGCAACATTCCACAACACAGAAATTCGGTGTAACACCGGTAATCCCAATCCCCACATTATGGAACGTTCTGATGGAGGGACTTGCACCGATTTGGCCTCAATCACGTACTCAGTTTGATGGCGTTTCTTTGGGCGATGCATGGCCCTGTTCTTCAATGCCCCCTGCACCGGGTTGGGAACGCATTGTTCCCTTTCACAAACTCACTCAATGGCTTACCTATTCTCTTATGGTTCCGATGTCAAAACTGATGGGGGTGATGTGGGCAGGCGAGCAGCTTCTCACTGGTCTTCCGGAGTATCGTAACGGCGGCCTTCTAATAGACACTGGACTTTTGACCTTGAAGCAACCACAGATGGAAAGGGGCATCCAGGCATACCATGCAAACGCAAAAAAAGCGGGCCAGCCCAATGTTGAGGTCGTACCTTTGTTCGGGCCTGAAGACGATGTAATTATCGAATGGAGAGCTTGCACATTGGGGTTTTTGGATATGCTGTTGGGTGAAGTTAATAACTTGCTGGACTTGAGGAATGGCGATCAATTGACTTTGGCGCAAATGTTGGAGGCGGGTACTTGGAAGGTAAGTGGATATTTCCGAAATAATAATGTGAT